CAGCTCCGCAAGCAATTTTCGGACCAGATTTTGCTTTTCCGGCGTCACGACAGTGTGTCCCAATGCTCGACGTGCGACCACCAATGACTGGCCGGAGCATTCGCGGGTCCGTGGCCGACTCACCAGAGAGTGGGGATAACCTTGCCGAGGATCCCAGCAGCGCGCTGCAGCATGCCGACCACCTGCAGTACGGCGTAGGGCACCAGGTGCACGGCGAGCTCGTCGGGCTACGTGGCCCACAGGCGCATTTATTTCTCGAATGACAACTGGATGATGCATGGTTCACTCTCTTCTGCGTAATCGGCTTCATCACAGTCGTCTGCAATGGAGTATTCTCGCTGCTTGCCGTCCGCGTATCTCTTGAATCGCTTACTCACCTGAATGGCTTCAGCAGTGTCGGCACCGAGTTGGTTTCGCTTCTTGGTCATTATGTTCCCGGAGTCGGAGAATACGCAATCTGACGGAACAGAGGTTGCGACCATTCCCATATAGAGGCGAGCAATTTTTTGCCAGAAGGGGCCACTGACTTTCTTGCATCTTCCACCAGTTTCGAATATCAGTCTTAAACCCGGCCACTGCTGCTTCCCGTACTCTTCTAATTGCTCAACCGCGGTGAGCTTGGAAGCAGTTCACGCGGCCTCCTGCGTTCCCGAGAGGCTTTTAAAGAGGGACACCGGCTTGTTTGTTTCCCGCGCAACACGATCGGGGCGGACATTTTCGAAATGTTTGGCGCCCATAAGTGCAAGCACTTTGTCGCGGGCCGCACCTTGATTTGCTGCATTAAGACCGGCAAATCGTTTCACGCGGGGATCCAAAACGTATGCAACGGCGCTTTCGTCGCACACCATCAAATCGTGGTATACGTTCAGCTTCTATTCCATTGCCAATGCAGCCTCGGCAACGATCGGCACATCTGACACCACGGCGGTTGCCACCGTGCTCTTCATGTACACAAAAAACTGGTAGACCATCTGCATGTTCGGATAAGACGAACCGCTGAGCTCAGTAGTGATGACATCGAACGTCTTGAGAAACGGAATCAGGATTCTTGCCACTTTAAAGTCCTCAGGCTCAGTAGGTGCTCTGTCGCTTCCGACTTCCGGTGCAGCTGGAAGACACCAATAGCCAGCTACAATTGCAGCAGCGACTGCATCATCGCATACGAGCTGTTCCATCTGGTGAAAACATCAGCTGTCAGCTGTATGATTTTCAGGGCAATTTCGACATGCTGATCGTTTGAGGCTTTAACGAGATCCTTCGCAGCGGCATTGAGGTTTTGCTTCTGCTTACTGCTGTTGTGGATGAAGCTCACAAACTTGCGCAGTTTGTCAAGTTGCTTTTTCACACCCGGTGCATTGAGTACTGCCTGAACGATGAGATTAACTACATGTGCAGCACAGCGCACGTGCACCGACTTAATATCCGCACTGCTGTTCGCAATCATCTGAGCACATCCCTTGACCATATTTTCCGCATTGTCGCTAGTCATTCCACTGATTGAGTCCTGGATCCCGAACTTGGTGGCCACATCTTGGATCACAGCTGCTACTTCCGGTGCACCGTGCGGATGGGCTACGTGACGAAACGCCAAGAGGAAGTTGTTATACGTCCAATC